CATATGTGACCAGTAATTTTTTTTTAAAAGAGTATCAACTTCTTTTGTGATTAGCAAATGCAAATTAAAATTTAAAAGATTCTGTTCATACCCATCAAAGTGGCAAAAGTGAAAAAAAAACCCAATACCAAGTGTTGACAAGGATGTAGAACAATGGCACTCTTACACGCTAATGGTGGAAGTGTAAATTGGCACGGTAACTTTGGAAAACAATATGGTGTTATCTAGTAGTTACAGTTTCCCATGCCCAGCAATTCAAACCCTGGGAAATCACTGCACAGGTGCACCGGGAGATACATAGAATGTTTATTGCAGCGCTGTCATAATAGACCCAAACTGGAAGCAACCTAAATGTCCACCAAGAGTAGAGTGGCTAAATATATTGTGGTTTAGTCATGCAATGAAATACTGCAGCTCAGTGAAAATAAATGGATTACAGCTCCTCTTATCAACATTATGAATCCAGAAAAATATGATTTAAAAGCAAATCAAATGCAGAATGATTCCATTTTGTTTGAAGTTTTAAAACGCTAAATTAAAAATGTTGTTCATTGGTAAATATATACACAGATGACGAACTATAAAGAAAAGCAAAGAGTGGTTATTCCTGGTTGATAGAAAAGAGAGAGGAAGGATTTGGCAAGAAACACGCAGGGGTATTTTGAAATACTGGTAACACTAGCCAGGGTGTACACAGTTGTTAATTCTCATTTGATTATTTATAACAAATTATACTATTTTTCTCCACCAGTTCGATATTTAATTAAAAAACAAAAAGGAATGAATGATATGTTTGGGCAAACTCTTTGGGATGATGGCATGCCAGCAATATTTTGTTGAGCAAAATCTCACTCCTCAGTAGTCATAGTTTATAATGGTGCTTTTCTGGTTTTTTGTTTTGTTTTTTTAATAATGGTGCTTTTCTAAAGTAGGGAAGTTCCAGGATTTTGAAAGTGACAAATGTGAAAATAAACCACAAGGTGGCATCATAGACGCATGTGTCTCATTCAGACACATTTAATCCACTTGCCTTGGAAATGTTGAGTATAATTAAAATCTAGAGTTTATTGTATTCATAGGGAGCAGCAGAGGATATTTTTATTCTTTTACCTTCTTCTCATTTCATCAATTGTGCTTGATTTTACTTGCATATATTCTGTGTTATCAGATTGAAGTTTGAGGGGAGCAATTCAAATAAATCCAACGCAACAAGTACGCAGGTCCAGCTTATGACATTTATTCATTCATTTCTCATTCAGTCATGCACTCGTATAGTCATTCATTTAACCAGTGTCTGCAAATATTTGTTGTTTCTTTCTGTACCAGACGTAAGTCAAAGAAGCCCTGGAGACTTAATATGAGCAAAAACAGAGCCACTATCATTTGCTTTTCACGTAGTGGTAGAGACAGGTAATAATCATATCCTTACAAATTTAAACTGCAGCTGACAAATTCCGTAAGGAGAAGTATGTGATTCCACACTAATGTTTTGAATCAGTTGGAGATGTCTGCAGAGGGATCCATCTGTTGAGATCTGCAAAACGAAGGTGAGTTACCTGGGTAAAAAGGAGAGAAAAGAACATTCTAAGTAGAAGGAAAGTGTGCAAGTGCTGGTAGCAGGAGAGAGCAAGGCAATTACCAGGGGCTGAAAGCAAGCCCGGATGGCCGGATGGCAAGTCCAAGGTGGTAGAGCAAGGTGAGGAGAGGTCTAAGAAGTGCGCAGGAGACAGATCTTGCATGGCTCTTAGCCTGAGGTGAAGGACTTTGTCTTCATACTGAGAGCATGGGGGGAGCCACAGAGGAGAGCAGGTGCAACAGCGGCTTAAAGCCTGTGCCCTGTCACTGGTAAATCTGCAGCTTTATCAGTGTCTAGGAAAGATTCTGCCTTAGGTGCTAGGGAGTGGCACAACTCTGTTCACCGACGTATGTGTGATTTGCTTTTTGATGGTGAAGGACATCATTTAAAGACAGTAGGATAATTTCAATCTCAGCCATATTCATTAGATTCAAGATTTGTCTTCTAAAGAGACATGACTGTTGTATTTATTTTGAATCAGTCTAAAAACCATTGCTTTTGAAGATAGGAAACATAAAGGATGATTTCTTAACCAACTAATAGATCTATTCAGCTCATCCACAACAAAATAAAAAGCTTTGGCATCTAAAATATAAAAGGTATGAAAGAAAATGTTTATAATCCTGTTGTCTTAGAAAGAACCATGTATTAGAAATCAGGAGATCTGGGTCACATGACTATGGGAAAGGTGATCTAATTTGGTTGGGCCTCAGTTTTCTTCTTCTGTAAAATGAAGCACTGGTCTAGGTTATGTTCTTCTAACTCTGAAATTTTGGAAATCTGCAAATTTATTTATATAAAGCAAAATGTACAGGCAAATAATGTAATGTAAAGAGAACAGGTGTTGGGGAAGTACCTTGGGATGAGTTTGAATAAAGGTGTGTGAATGGGACTGAATGAGACTTATTTTGGATCTTAAGACATTTTCAATAAGCTAAATTTGAATAAGCTACACTACCATTTATTGATGGTGTACTATGTACCAGATCTTATGAACATTATCTCACTTAATCCTCAGAAAATTCTTGTGAGATAGGTGTTGTTTTTTAATCCTATTTTACTAATTAAAAAACAAAGCTTACACAGATTAATTTGTTCAAACTCACACAGTTAATGCATCTCAAGATGTATCTTGATCTGTCTGATTTCAGAACTTGTCCATTCAGTCATTATACTATTTATTATATGTCTTGAAGAGCTGAGATTTTAAAAAATGACATATATATTGAGTAAAATAGAGATAAATTTACTAGAATCACAAATATGGATTTCAAATTATTTATAAGTGATCTGTTGAATAAGTACCAAGAATTTTAATAAGCTCCCACATCTTAAAACAAACAAAACTGCTTATTTAATGAATTAAAGATGCACTATCCTGGATATGGCTGTGAAGTTGCACTACTATTAAGCAAACCATCTCCTTGTCAGTATGTTTTTGCTGTATCAGTCAAGGACATGCTTGCAGAATTTTAACTCCTAAGCTATATATTTAAAAGGAACAGTTAGACAAATAGCTTCCATCACTTTTCTCGCTATGTCATATCCTGATGACAAACAATGGTGAACTCTGTTTCTCCTTTCGTTTCAAACTCCTGATACCCAGAGCAAGGAAGCTGCCTGCCAGACCTTGTCGTTTGGAGAAGTGACTAAATGCATTTATATTGAGTTATTGCTCCCGTGTTGTTTTGTCTGTAACTCCCACTCTTAAGCATGCTTGAGGTTTGATGATTCACATCAAACGGAATTGTGTTCTCTGTTGTGAGAACTGGTCAACATCGGACAGATAATTCATCGGTTTATTGCTGGACCCGTTCCTATGATGGTCATGGTCAGGAGGCACTTGGTGTTTGCATCTGTTTCTTTGGTGCAACACATTTGCCTTAAGCCTACTTAATGATTCAGCTGTGATGGACTTATGGATATCTTTCGGTAGGCATGCTTACTGAACCTCGAAAGGGGGCACACTGGCCCCTCAAGCCTCCTTACTATAGGAGTAAATGATGTCTGTCATCAGAGGCAACGCTTGCCTACTGAGCTTGGCCATACCCTCATCTGATGGTCACCAGACTATATGTGGGTTTGATGATGTTACTACACCCCATCATTTTTACTGTGCTATGCTTATCTTCCTGATAGAAAGATTCAAAACAACAAAATAAATCTAGCAGGGGCTGCTTGTGAGACAAAAAAAAAAAAAAAAGTGGCTGGCTTAGTTCCTGTTTAGGAGGTGGCGTGTGACTGTGACAGAAAAATGTGTTATGACGAGAGTAAAACATGGTCTATGTCCTTCTGTGTTTTGCCCTCCTGACTGTGAGCACATCTCTGTCATCTTGCCAGACCCCAAGGGAAGCCTATTTAAAGCAGGCATTCTGGGTTGGACTGGCTAGAAAAGAGAAGGGGAGCCATTGCTGGCCCAGGAGAAAGTCGACACAAACAGCTACACAAAGTGCTAGTTGCTAGTTGGATTGTTTTGGTGAAAAAAAAAGTCTTTATGTTCTCTATAATTAAGGGAAAGGTTTAAAAAGAAGTGATGAAAGATCTAGGAAGCAGAGTTTTACAGTATGGTAAATAATATTCAAGTTGATAGCTTATAATCACAAAAGGAGGGGTTAACTCAGTTAAAATACTCAGTTGTTTTAGGAGTTTATGAGCAATTTAAAATTTATCAGCCCACCTGTACAAGTGAGACATTATGAATAATAGCCATTCTTTCCAAATACTTTTTCTTCCACATGAGAAAACATGACTTTGTTATCACTGCAGTGAAAACACAAAACTATTACAATGCACACTTAATGCAAGAAACTTTAGAGTTAACTTGCCAAAGATACTCAACCTCATTCTATCCCTTAAAAACAAAACAACAAAAAACCTTACAAGGCATTCTATTACATGCATATCCATTTCATATGTATGAATCTCTTCATTCCCACAGACTAATAGAATGACAACCAAGGTCAAGGAAACAGAATACTCAGTTCTCAGAAGACTAAGAATTTAGAGGCATATAAAAATGCCTCTGGTTATAAGATTTTTAAAAAAACTATACACATATAAACTGTTAAAGGCTTTGGAAAACATGCTTAACTGTAGGCCAAAGCTTTAAGGCTAGTTCAAAATCCCTTCCTGATAATAAGAATTGTTATAGTGGATGGGTTACTGGGCAAGTCTTTCTAGGCCAAATGACGAGTATTGTTTTATGATATGATGGACCTGGAAAGTATAAGTAATCAGAATGATCCAGCATTCTCTCCACTCCCCCCATCCACAACCTCTTTTACATCCAGTGGGAGACTGGGGGTTTTTATTTTCTTTTCGAACTCAATTTACTCAGATCTCTTTTTTTTTTTTTTTTTAAGTAATCTCTACACCTGATGTGGGGCTCAAACTCACAACCCCAAGATCAAAAGTTGCATGATCTTCCAACTGAGCCAGCCAGGAGTCCCCAGGTACCTCATCTTAACACTTCACCATTTTGCTGTGCTTTTGCCAACCACCTTGAATGAGATTATAGGATATTCTTTGGTAGCCATTACTGAGGGTCAAGCTCACTGATTAAGGTAGGCATGACCTGCTTGAAAGTTGAAAGTTAAAACTAGAAAACTGCCAAAACTATTTCCTTTTATGCTGTATGATGGAATAAAGTGAGGTTATTCTTTTTTAAAATCCTTTCATATATTAAAAGGGTAAGATGGTAGAGGCTTTTATGCTAATACGATAGATTTACTCTTGTCAATAATTCAAAGTGATTCCATGCAGGTTGAAATATTCTTGGTTAGCCTGAGTCTGAAAAAGCAGTGTCAAAAGCCATAGCCTAGAGGTTCAAAGGTATGGGTTGAAGAATCAGACAAGCCTGGGTTGAGTCATAGCTCAAACTGCTAGGTGTGACCTTGGGCAATTAACCTCTTACTCTCCAATTCCTAATATGCGAAGCAAAGATAATAATATATGCACACCATAGGACGGTTACAAGGCTTAAATGAGACAACAGATTTCAAACACTTAGCATAGAATTAAGCACAGAGAACAACTGAACAATATTTGCAGTTAGTATTAACATGTTTTCTTTATTAGACCTGTGACTTAGGTGGGTACCAGTTCTCAGTTATAGCAGAGGACCCAATTCCCTGACCAAACCCATTCCTGTCTGTTCCTTTGAAGTTGAAAGGGAGGGAGAAAGTACCACCTGGGGTGGTACCTGGGGAACCATTTCTCATATGCCTCTGGCCCCTCATACAAGATTGTTGATGTAAGCTAAGGGGCTTTTTTTTCTTTTAAATTCTCCCATCTGAGTTCAAAGACTTATCCTTCCAAAGAATTTGAGCTATAGTCACAGTTTATGATGTCATATTTGCTGTAGTGCTTTGTTTTAGTTGCTGAAATATTCACAACTTCAGTTATTGCTTAGATCTTAAAAGAATTACAAGGGGAAGTCAAACTCCATTCTTCAGTAAAACACAGAACTGGGAATAGTCCCATTGGGCAATAAAAACATGAAAAGCTTCAAAAATATATCTATCTTTAGCTCATTAAGCTTACAATCCAGATTCATAATCTGGATTCATAAATCAGTCCAGATTCATAATCTGACTAGGACCCTATTTTGATGAGGTATTTTTAAAGTAAGCTAAGTCAGCCACATTTTAATCTCTATACATCTCTAGTCATGGACTTTTTTTTTTTTTAAGATTTTATGTATTTATTTGAGAGAGAGAGCACACAAGCAGGGGGAGCTGCAGGCTCCCCACTGAGCAGGGAGCCGGACACAGGGCTCGATCACAGGACCTCGGGATGGTGACCTGGGCTGAAGGCAGATGCTTAACCCAGACACCCCATAGCCATGGATTTTTCAAATTGCACTGAAGTATGTTATTATACTACACTATTGCCTCAGATCCAAGATGTACCTTTTTTTTTTTTCATTTTTACACTCTGAAAATTGGGATATCTTATGTTCAATAGGTAATATTCTGTTGTGGTGGTTCTTTTCCTTAAAAACTGACCTTAAACCAATAGTGTATTTTGCAACTGATGGAGCCTTACACTTAAGGAAATCGCTTTGTGATGATAACCTAAGGTGATTACTCTTACTCTGAATTCATGTAATGATTGGAAAAGGAACAAGTTGATTATATAAAGAAGATAATCCAAAAGGCTTCATTAAGATTCATGATACATATGTACATGTGGATCATTAGAGCCATCACTCTAGTTAATATTTGGCCTTTTTTATGTTTCAACTTACTTTAAAATCCTTCACATTTGTTCAAATGATAGGATTACCATATTTGCAGTAGCAAAAGATCCCAAAAAGACCAACAAGCCTCTCCCAACTAGTTCTCAGAAACCCTCACTCTCATGGCATCTCCTTCTTTTGAGGGCCCTTGTGAATAGCGAGTGACAGCCATACCTATCACTCTCAGGCTCTAGAAGCGCGTTTGCATGTGCTACTACATGCCCTTCGAAACTTAACATGTACACACAGTGCTGGGTAGTTATTCAATAAATACCTTCTGGTTCACTGATGTGAAATACAGAACTATGTTTTAATTAGCATTGAAATACATTTCTAGGCCCAAGATGGAGCCACTCCTGCCCAGGTGCTACATCAGCAAATGGAACTTTAGCTAACTTTTGAGTCCCTGTACATGTTCCACTTGACCAGAAATGCAGTATATCCAGTTAGCCAATCCCCCAATGCCAGGCCAACTCTGGGCCTTCTCACCATAAACAAGGTTGATTGTGTAACCCTGCCAATCAGATATTTTCCATTTTTCTCTTCCTTGTTATTCTTTATCCTATAAAATCTCCCTGCCTTCCACCCTATTTTGCAGTTCTCCAAAAGGAGATTGCTTCATGAAGTATTACAGTTTGTTTGTATCAGCTAAATTGTTTCCTTTGTTTTTTAACATTAGGCATGCATATAGCTTTTAACATTTGGGGAAAATGAAATTTCTAAAAATGTTCCTTTTTCCTTTTATCCTACCAAAAATCCCTTGAATTAATTTTGGGACTAACTTTGGCATAAATAAAAGCCACCCATAAATTAAACTTTAAAAGTTCTTCTCCCCTTGGACCATAAAAACTAATTTTTTTCTATTTTGGGAACAAACATGAAAATTAATCACACCTAAAGGTGGGACACTACTTTCACAAAACATTGGATCTGAGATGGGAAACAGTTGTTAAAAAGAAATAACAGGGGGCGCCTGGGTGGCTCAGTTGGTTAAGCGACTGCCTTCGGCTCAGGTCATGATCCTGGAGTCCCGGGATCGAGTCCCACATCGGGCTCCCTGCTCAGCAGGGAGTCTGCTTCTCTCTCTGACCCTACCCCCTCTTGGGCTCTCTCTCTCTCTCACTCTCTCTCTCTCTCAAATAAATAAAATAAAATCTTAAAAAAAAAAAAAAAATAACAGGCCCAAAATGGAGTCACTTGTGCAAGCCCCACATCAGCAAACCAAGACTTACTATCTAACCAAATTGCAGTGACCTTTAACCAGTCAATTTGGAATTAACCCATCAGTACCAGTGAGGTCATCTGTGTCACAGACCCCCCCCCCCAAAGGAAGGTGACCTTGCCTGAAACAATCCACTCTTTGTTACAAACTTCCTTCTTCAGCCCCCTTCTGCCTATAAAAGCCTTCCATTTTGTATGGCTTTTTCCAACTCCTTTCTATTTGCTACATGGGATGCTGCCCAATTCATGAATTGTTGAATAAAGCCAATTTGATCTTTAAATTTACTTAGTTGCATTTGGTTTTTTAACAGTGTACTGTGACGTTAACAGCTGAGGATATGAAACATTTATCAAGAAACAATTAAATTCACATGACCAAAATTACAGACAACAATTAACTTTAGGAACTATGACAATCTTTAGCAACTATGTAGCAATTTGTTTTGCAAATATTTTAATCATTTAATTGGAAAAATAACAACCCATATGTAACTGAGAAGGAAAAAATATAAGGAAAAAACAAAAGGACAAGAAAGGGAGGAAAGGAGGAAGAAAGAGGATTTATCTTAAAATATTTAATCAAAATTAAAAATAAAAATTCCTGATCTCTAAAATGGTTTACATTCCAAAAAAGGAAAAGAAATTCTTTGAATGCTGACATTACAAGAGGCACAGAATCAGCTATTAGATCTTAAAATAAGAATTATTTCTATGCCTATTGTCCACAAATCATGATTAAAAAGCAAACTTCAAATACTACTAAATTCATTTTCTTATTTACTACCTAATTCCATCAGAGCTAATTGAAGATACAATAACCACAGAACTTACAGACAGGAGGAACAAAGTGATCTGTTTTTGCTCATTTTTTTAACCACTTATAGACAAAAATTAGAAAAACTATGTAACTTTTCAAAACTAAAATAATGTAAGAAACCTCGCACGCTTTCCTTTAACTGTGAGGATAACTGATATGAATAAAAAACATTCTTTTTTTATTCTTTTCTTATGTTTGGCCCAATAGCTTCAGGAACTGAAATAATCTCTTCTAGGCTTCACTGAAGAGGGAGAGATATGTGCATAATTTCTACAGCATCAAAAGAAAGTTTCATTGAGGTAGGTACAGAGGATTTATCATCAGGAAGCATGTATATGCTTATCATGTATGCATGTGATGTTTTAAAAACCCTCTACAAATGTTTTTGAGTTACAAAATATATGACACATTCTAGCTTATTATCCTAGGTTCAGTTTACCATTATTTGGAGTTCTTATATTTGCACTTTTCCAAGAACCATGGTTAAGAATAAAAGGCATAGGAAACTGATCACTTCCTGTCTCCAATAATGTCATACCCGCCTATGCTTAACTGATTTACAAGCTCAGATACATGTTATTTTCCGGCAAGCTGTGAATTATATTAATTATATTAAATGACTCTGAAAGAGAAAAAGAAAAGCCACGGCTTAAACTGTTAATGAAAGAAAAGGCCTTGCTTGAAATTCATGTCAACTTTCCATTCTGCAAAGCAACTCATCCACATAAAAATAGTCAAAAAGGACTTCATTTAATTAGTGATATGTAGACTTTTGCATAGAAAAAGGTTACAAAGTAATGCAAAAAAGACTGGGTACAATAATTTTAAACAAATATTTAAAAAGTATAATTTTGCATAATGTTTAACATTCTCATGTTTATTACTTTCTCCACACAGCAGAGAAATGAAGTGCATAATAATACATGCTGTGTCTTCATCTTTCAAACATAAAATCTCATGTGCTCAATTTTAATGTATTAAGAGATTACTTTGTCATTAAACAAAATAAAAAAACAAAAGAAAAATACCATTATGTAGCACTAGTCTAGGCATGAACAAAAATAATTTATGTACATCCCATTGCATACATTCATCTTGATTTGGGATCAAATGCAATCATAAGCTTGACAAAGAGTTTTTAAAAATCGTGGCTTTTCTCTTCCCAATGCTCTATCCCTGTTGCAGACCTCCAGAAATGCAACTTTTCCCAAAGGGTGACAAGAATAGATATTACACATTATCAGGACAAAATGAAGAGAGGAAGTATGTAAAAATAGTCCAAATGAAACAATAAATTAACCTAAACTTTTACAAACTGGAGAATTTTCAAGTTGGCACGAATCAAATAGCTTCTGTTGGGCACATGGTAGGCAACTGCTTTTAGGTGCACTCTCTATATAAATGGTTTACATAAAGAAGCACCGTATTTTGAGCCATGAAAAAAGTGCCTGGGGGCTTGCAGGCAGGGCAGAAATGGTTGTTAATCTGAGCACTGATGGAATAATTGCTTATACCAATGCATTGCTAAATGTCACCACTTGGCAGGCAAGTCTGTACAAAGAAAGCAAACTAAGATAAAACTAGGTCTTTCAACTTGAAAATTATTTTCAGCAATCCTTTTGGCCAATAAAAACCTGTTGGTTTCAACAGAGTACTCTTCTCTGGTACTGTATTAAAATGTCTGCAGCCTAATGTAAGACTTCTGTCCCTTTCCTTTCTTAACCTAACCTCTACGCTCTTCTTTACTTGTGCAATGTTATATATTCAGAAGAAAACTTTACTAGCTCAGGCACTTATGAAACACGAATATTTTTTTCCATCTAGTTTAAAGAGAATCCAGTCAGGACTTTTTTTTTCCCCCTTCCCCAATACAGACATACTGATGCACTGCTGGATGATACAGTCCATATATCTTCCAGGAAACTTCTAAATGAATACAAGTGTGAAGTTTTCCAAAGCTGCTGCTGTCAGTTACCAAGCTGCCCTAAACAAAACAAGAGAAAAAAGATAATACCACATTTCCACTTGTGAGGTTTGTGTCTCAAATAGCTTTATTCCTTTGTGGATCTGTAGACATCTGTATGGCTACTTTCAGGGTGCAGAGGTTTTAAGCTGACTCAGAAACGAAGGACATTCGGTTACCACTGCAAAAAATTCAGTGAAAACTTAAAAAGCTCCCACTTCTGTCCCCCAGGGTCGGTAAGGTTTACTGTTTGTTCCACCGCTTGTCTGCTGCGGGCTGGACGTGGCCGACACGGTTAAGGGCGGGCTGATGGCTGTGGCGGCTGCCACGGCTGCAGCTGCGTTAGGGGGGAGCATGGGGAAGGCCCCTGCGAAGGACAGAGGGAAGCTGTGCGCCGCTGCAGTGGCTGCGGCCGCGGCCGCGTGGACAGTGGCGGAGAGGGACAAGAGAGAGGTGGAGAGAGGCGGCACGCAGGGGGCTGCGCTGCCCGTGGCCGGCATCCGAAGGGCGGAGTCGGCGTGGGCGAACGTGGCCGTGAGGAGGGCGGAGCCGTGGGCAGGAGGCACTTCCGAAGCGGTGGAGAGGCGACAAGGCGTGGACTCGGACGTGTGGAGTCCGTTGGGCTGGAGCAGGGCCGCGGGGAGGTGGTGGAAGGCTGCCGCCCAGTGGTGCGGGTGCAGGGGGTGGTGGTGGTGGGCCAGAGAGGACGTCATGGCCGCCGCCTCCCGCTGCGAGGCACATGTGCTGAGATGAGAGACCAGTCGCACCCGCAGGGGGTCGGAGGAGTCCAGGCCCTCCACGGAGCTCAGGTACCGGGCCACTTCCGTTAGGCACTCCCGGAAGCCAATGCTCATGAAGTCCATGGCCAGAGCGTGTGCGTCAAAGTAGCCTGAGAGGGGGTCAGAGCAAAGGGGGGACCGGGAGGGGGCAGCAAGAGAAAGCGGTACAGTGACTATGAGTAACCACCGACTGTGCTTCCCTCTGTGCTTACGAATAGTCAAGGAGAATGACCCTTTCTGAAAATGTTGCCAGTTATTTCTGGTTGTAGTTGCTACAGAAGAAAGTATACTTTGCAATTCACATGTGTGACAACACTAGCAATGCTATATACTATAGTTCTTGCAACTAAATATCACAGTGGGGAAAAAAATTAAGAACATCCGTGTTTCAAATACTTCCATTAAAAAAACAAGGCGGGGGGGGTCTCTCCTTTTGTACTGTGGGATAGTGAAATTCCCTAAACTTTTTCACGGTCCTACAGAGTTTCAGTCTGTCTCTGTCACATGTGGTGGAGATTAAAGGGTTATTCTGAAACATCCGCACTCTTGGCATTTGTAACAGAGATATGAAATGCATCTTAGCAGCTTGAGGACTTTCTTTAAAAATGTGCTAGAATCTCTTAATAAATTCATAAATGCTTCTTGACTCAGTGTTTTTTTTTTAGCAAATTACTTTGTATGAAAAAATTTGATGAAAACAAAAATTTTTTTTTTTTAATTTGGGGGTTACTAATTTGGAGATCTTATTTTTCTATCAGGCAAATAAGGCTGCTTTACTGATACGAGATTACTGTAACTCCTCGCTTTCCTGAAATTCAAAGATATATTTCCTTTACTGGTTAGCTTATATTTTCCTGGCATCCACCCAAGAAAAAAACTGTGTGTTAATTTTTCAGTGTATGCATGCAGCACGCCCCTCCCACACCTAAGGTTACAACCATAAAAATGGCTGGAGCTGAGTCACATTTATGAGAATCCCTTTTTATCCAAATATAGTCCATTAGATAAAAAATAGTAATGTATCATTATTATCAGTGCCAATTTAGGGTAGAATAATAATCAGACATTTGGGGAAATGTCACCACTCTGAATGACCTCTAGTGTGTACAAATGTATCCTTTTCAGATTCTTTCTCATTTGCAACTTTTTTTTTTTTTTTAGCAATTTTCAAATTAAAAGTTTATTCAGTTTTGGGAAATGGGTATACGAAATGAAAAATATTACAAAGTTATTTTTCCCTAAGGCATTTAATGTATTATCTTTTTCATGTTTCTGCAGATCCAAGTATTATCTTTCATTTATCACCTACTAAAAATTAAATTATCTTATTGTGTAATCAAAGCACTTTGGAAAATAGAAGTCACAATATTCAAACTCCCAAAGCTATTATAGCAACAGAAATATGGAAGTCTCAAAAAGATACTTGGGGCAAAAATATACACCATTAAAACAGTAACAATAACAGCACAAAGCTGATATAAGAGAATATCATGAAATGTGGAAAATCAGCAACAAAAATAGTTATAATCCCAGGACTTCAGCTTAGATAGCAACAAAATCCCTGGGATTAAGAGAGAAAGCTCTTCCTGAAGAAGACGCCTCCATAGAAAGAGTTCACATGAGAACCCTCAGGGTTCTTTGTCGGGCTTTTCAGGCTTCTAATTTTCACGAGAGAAGGATGGATGTAATCCAACAGAAGACAGAGTCCAGAAACACAGAGGGATCTAGAAATTTAGGTTACTCTACTAAATTCTCTTTAGAAGACACTGCAGTACCAAGACAGACTATAAAGAATGGACCAACAGAACTGGAATCCCAGGGGCTTCCAAGAATTTTCATGAGTGGGCACAAAGTGATTGAAATTTGTGATTTGCCAGCTGTGTGTTGTTACATACGGCTGAGTTCTCTGTTGCGTATTAAGGAATATAAATTGTGTAATTCCTATTCTATTGCTGAATGCAGAGGAAAATGACGATGAGCAGCTGTCCCCTAGGAATAATCTTGGGCCAATAATGAAGGCACATGGGTCCATATCACTTCCTCTGTGCCATCACTGCTGTATGGCTTTAAGTGAATAAACTCACAACAACCTTGTGAGGTAGACACTATCACTGTCCTCATTTTACAGATGAGGAAACTGGGGCTCGGACGGGGTTAGTAGTTTACCCAAGGTCACAGAGCTAACATATGGCCGAGCTAGGATTCAAAACCAGGCAACCCAACTGCAGTCTGTGTCCTTCACCACTACATTGTGAGGCCCCATAGAAGCTGTGAGTCTTGGATGATGTGAGCCCCCACTGCCAACCCCTCCTCCCTCTTCAAGGCCCATACTTCCTCCTGTGTGATGACCTCTCTGGTCACTTGGCCGTCAGGCAACTTGTATGGAACTTGCTTGGAAATGTCTGTTCATAAACTATTCTGGGATGAATTTTAGGACTGTTCAGGTAGCCAAGAATAGCAACCAAGAATGGAACTTAGTTTTTATAATAAGACATAAGAACAGTATTCCTCTTTAGAAGTATAGCTTATGCCAAATATTTGAAACCCTGGTAAGAATTCTTAGCCTTGTGGTGAACAACACCAAGGAAGGCAGAGCAGTTAGACTGCTGTTCCTGCACCATCACCAACTCAATCAGTCTACTATCCTGAGGTGGCAGGTGCAGAATCAAAATCATGGGGCTGCAGGGGCTTTAGAGCTCAGAATGCTAGTGTAGGCCTCACAGTGCAGTGGAGCACTTCTGTCTTGGGTTAAAGGCAAGACAATGGCCAAGCTAGGCTGGATCACTGGTTTCTACGATTTCATCCAGTTCTCTTCTCTATTATGTAAGAGTTTTTGCATACTATGCTGAGGGTTACATTTTCATGATAAGAAATGACAATTCCATACCCATTCAGGATGGTTTCTAGAGAAGGTGCAACTGAGGTTTAGTCAAACCATGGAGGCTTCTCTTTACGTGATCACCGCCCCTCCCTGCACACCTGATACAGGTAAGAGACAGTGAAGGCCAGGGATGATGATCCACAGGTCGTTGGCAGTATGGCCACACTGGAGTTAAATACTGAAGTACTTCCACAGCAATTGGTAAATGGCTATTTCCCTCCAATGCCTTGCCCCTGCTCTGATCTAGGGCAAACTGTGATACTATGTAATGAAAGGCTAATGCTGAGCAGAGAAGCTGCCAGGGTGGAGGGCAGCACTTAGCCCTCGTGGTGGTAGTCTCTCCCTACCCAGTTGTCAAATACATTAAATAACAAAAGACTCTTGGTGAAGGTGAATAGCAAAGGCCTGCTTGAAGAGTGAAAAAGATACAAAAGGGCAAAATCAAGTCTGAGTAATGTGTGAGAAGAGGGATCATGAAATCTGAATGAATATTACAGCTTTCAGGATCACAAGTCTATTTTTAACATGACAGGAGGGGGTCCATCTCTGACCTCTGGATGATTCTTTCCTAAATCATTATCTAGTACAGAAGACATGTCTCCAGGGCCCTGGGCCCAAGGTTCCTCTTCCTGCTTGCTCTCTGCAGGAATGACTCTGCTCCTTTAATAGTTTTCAGTACAGAGATTCACTACCTATACTTCAAATGTTCTGTCTGGTCTAAACCCAAGATCAACCAAAATCTGAAAACAGTGAAGATAATTCTAAAGTCAATTCCTTTGGAATGGCTGCATTAGGTTGAGTCCTAGTCTTGATTTAATGGGGGGTATCGGGGGAAGAGAAAGAAGAAGAGAAAAAGATTGCCTTTAACCTCCTGTTTATGTTTAGATGTTTGTGTGTGTGTTTTGTCTTTCTGTACAGACTCCAGCATGTGCTCCTGAGGTCCCAAACAAATCTCTGACCAGGCTGCTGTGAATGAAGCTTTACTCCCACAGTATTATGAAAGCAAACACAAGCCCAGGGTCAAGTGCTTCTTTTGTTCCAGAAGTTCTTTCCCACGAGTTCAATCCTGCCATTAGCATTGATTTCCACAGCTTTAATCTGGGACCTCCTATCTCAGCTTGTTAAAGAACTGTTCAACTATGACTTTCCTATAATCTTAGGGGGAAAAATGCAAAGAGAGAGGTGGCAAGGGGGTAAAAATGAAGTCACCTACTTACCTTTACCCCCAGTTGCCTGAAGCATCTTCAGATGATCTACTGTCATTTGCAGTATTTCGGCTTTCTCTAACTTTGCAGATCCCTGTATAAACAAATAATAAAGTCTTAG